AATTTAGAAAATATAAATGTGAGATGCCTCAAACGCACCCGTCAGGCAAAATTTGGGCTGTGATGGCAGCAATTTATTTAGTTTTTTAAATTAAAAATTACAAATCAAACAGGAGCTGAACTCGCACTTTCTTCATGCAAGTTGATAAGAGTAACCATAAAACTAGAGATGCGGGTCCCTTTGAAAGTGAAGAATCCCAAATGCCAAAGCAAGGTCAGTGCCACCATCAATAACAGCTCAACAACACTGGAAGCCCATGGTACTTCTGGAATGTTTAGTTTTAGTTTCAGTTATGGTTTTACAGCACTGGCAACACAAATAGGTAAAAAAAAAAGTGCCAAAGATTGGAGGTGTTACTAGAGAGTGACATACAAAGAAAGAAAAGAGTTAATGAAGATAGATGTTTGATAGGAAAGTAGGTGTAAACCACACCAGAGCACCCGCCAACCACCCACCTTCTGGAATGTGACATACGTGAGCTGAAACAAGAACATTGGACCAGGAGGGCAGGTCCAGCCGACAAAAAGAAAAAATGTACAAAGTAGCAAGCATTGGCACCCAGTGACATTTTCACACAGTAATGGACAATGGTCAGCCTAAAGTAACGATGACCACACACCCATTAAAGGGGTCAAAGAAGAAAAAAACCAGGTAGGACACCCCTTTTCATGCAAAAAAAGTATTATTCGTTTATACAAAGACCTTTTCAGGAAATACCTTCTTGTGCAGGAAATTAATCCAAATTGAAATCACAAAAATCATCTTTGAAGTTATGTTGTAAAAAAGTAAAAAGTATATAATTTTTAAAAACACACCAAAAAATACTTCAGAGTAAATTTGATTAAAATTAAAGGAACACACGTTCAAAACTTGTTTTCGCAAACCTCAAAGTGGATCATTTGTGCTTACATTTTTTTGTTTTTAAACTTTAAAAAAAATCAAAATGGGGATAACCTCAAAGAAACCCCTCAAAGTATTTACGTAGGTAACAACTCGATAAAAAAAAATTCTTCCCATGGTTCCAACATTCATGGACCGAAAAGTGAAAAATTGAAGTATCAACATCAACAGAATTTGCAAATAACCCAAGAACTGATCTACTCGGGTATAAACATCAATCATCCTCAAATAAACCAACACAGACACAGGCCAGGCACCACTGGTCACTGACACTACCACTGCAACCAGTGTGGAACCAACACCTCCGTATTCGGCTCGACCTGGTCTTGGTACTGGCAGACGTGTTATGTGGCATTCACCTGCAGGCAGAGCAAACAGTTAACCCTTCCTCCGGGGAGAGCCAATCCCATCAAGCAGCAACAAAAGCCGCGGGCCCCCCGAGAGGAAAGGACAGGGTAGCCTCCAGGAGCATCTTTTTTGTAGAGATGATATAGGATCCTGTTGCTTAGCCACGAAAAGTTTTCATTATAATTCTAATCACAACTAATTACAGAAGATTCCCCTCCTATCGTCACAGTATGAGAGCCATCAGCTTAACATGACCATCCTGACCATCACAATGCTACGTCCAACAACACAATTGGCATTACATTAGGAGAAAATCCGTCCTCATACTGAAAGGAAGGAGTTTCAGGACTCCATCACGGAAGAAAAAAAAAAGAAGCTAAAGTCTGATAAAAAAATCAAATCACAATCACTTCCCCAAAAGGCAAAGCAGAAATGACACACATAGGAGCAAGTGCTCGCAAAATTTCTAGTAAAATCCTATCAAAGAAAGCAAAGCTCTGATTAAATACCTCAACACGTAAAAGTGTTTTTGAATTTTAAAAAATCCCCAAAACTTAATACTTAATGACTAGATACTATCATTCTGTCATTTCCTCTACAACTTCAGGACACAAAAAAAAGTGTGAAAATCCGGAACTTTACTACAGATTAAACAGTGGCACAAAGAGCAGCACACGCCAGGGTTTCAGTGCACAGTACAAAACCTGTCTCCTAGGACCACAGACAGTAGTGCACTGCCCCTGGTAGCCGAGTGACAAAACATAACCTGCACCACAATCACAGAGGAATCAATAGCACGTTTTCGTTAGTAGCTATGGTACACAATATAGGACACTTTTGGCAGTTGTGGAAAAGAAAACCTGTACACGCAAAGACGAAGACAAACATGAACTGTAAATTGTCGCGGGGGGGGGTCTTATTTTTCTTACTCACACTTGAAACTAAACACTGTAAGAGGAAAAAAGTCACCTCTTCTTCTCATCACCCTCTGGTCCAACAGTTACCTCAGCTGGTTTCCTCAGGAGGGGGCCAAGATGGAATGTTTCATGAAGGAAAACCAAAAAACCAAAAAACCAAAACAATCAGACACTGAACAACTGTTATAAAACATAGGTTTAAACATCAGCAGCGCATCACTTTTCCACAACTTAATAAACCCCCTTGCTGGGTCCTCTGAGGAATTTCACACACGGCCCTCCGGCCTACCAAAGTCTCTTTTGGACAGAAAAAACAAACGCTGCTTTCTTAAAGAGAGCCGAACATTGCATTCAAATTGAGGGCAAACATTGCTCTCTATCTTGAGAGCCAAACATCAATTTCCAACTGAGCTAAAAGTTGCTTTCCAACTTAACAAAGAAGCCCAAACGTGCCAGTAACTCAGGCGGGCACCTTTTCGACACGACCCAACATCAAATATGCAGCACAGTAAGGCTACCCTAGCTGATAATGCACAGTAATCACACACTCAGGGGAACAACGTAAAATATAAAAAATATAACAAAAATAAAAGGCAAACAGAGAAAGTTTGTTGAACTGCACTCAGGACAGAAAAGGGGTGAGTGGGAGGACCCATAAGAAACCCAAGTCTGCAGCATTCCAGAATCCAAATCTATGGAAATTTCTGGAAAAAAAAATGAGACACAACAACATCATCACATTCAGGACATCAGCTGACAGACCCGAGTCCCACCTCATCTATGCGAAAACACAATCGTCCTCACATCATCTTCACTATACCTTC